CTATTTACAGACTTTGATGAGTACCATAATAGAGTCAATTAAATAGACATTTATCGATGACTCCTTATTAATAGGTGCTTGAGGAAAAAATATGAATAAAACAAAATTTCTGTCTTGACATGCTCATAATCTGGTAAGAGAGACAAACACAGATTCAACTATATTGCAGTGTAATAAGGCTAATAATAATGAATGAATGGGCAAAAACACAATAAGCAAAGACATGAATATGATCAATCTTGCCTAGTAATTCAGAGTAGCTACACAAAAAAGATAAATTGAAGGCTTAGCTTTGAAAAATGAGGAGAATTCTACTATGTAGGAAAGGAGAAGAAAGGATATCTCAGCCATTGAGAACACATGCTAAGTAGGTACAAAGGCAAGAAATAAAGTAATATGTTTAGAAAATGACTATTAGAGCATAGGGAATGATAATTAATTGGCCAAAAGTCAAGAAAGAGGGACATTAAATGAAAAGTTACTCAACAGTTATATTTCTCAAGTGTTTCTAAAGTCCAAATAGAGACTGAAAAAAAGTGTTTAGATTTGGTTACACACACGCACACACACACACCTTTTAGTCAAAATCTTTTCTTCTATGATATCACTAAGAGCATTTTTCTCTATTTTTGAAAGTGTTTCATTTTAATTATTAAATCGTAGAATATGCAATTTTTATAAAGTACAAAATGTAGATTAGCAAGATAAGAATATTATAAATTAATCCTCATCAACCATTCAAAGATAATCAGTGTTAATATTTGAGATGTGGTCTTCCAGTTTTTGTCCCTGCTAATGTAAATGTATGTAAGGGCACTTGTAATGTGTGTGTAGTTTAAAAAAAAATGAAATCACATTCTACTATCTACAATCTTTTTAAACCTCATAATATGTTATTTAGTGGTTGCCGTCACATAGATAAAATACTGTTGCTTAGATTTCCTATAATCCTTATATTAGAAATTCCATTGCTATTTTCTATCATCTGTTGTATCTATCATCATTTCACATTTCATTTACTTCCTACCTTTGCTTTCTTAGTGAACTTTCATTCAAGCGTTTGATAGCTAAAACATTGGTTTTTTTAACCTATAGTGTTTGCTTTATTTTATGACATCCATTGCAGATGTTAATACTGTCACCATGGTTTTAGATTTGTAGGTTTTTTTCTTATTGTTTCAGTCACTTCACTGTACATTCAATCCATCTTTTCATTTCTTTATCCATTACTTTCTTATATTTCACTGCAAATACAAAGATACATTTTTATATTCTTTTCTTCTGAATATATATTTTACAAAAGTATTTTCACTTAGTGTAATTCTGATATTACTTTTTAATTTTTTAATTCCTCTCTTTGTTTGATGAGCTAGAAATAGCAGTCCAGGCAAGATATTTGCCAGGAGATAAACTGAATATATTCCCTTTAATTTCTATGTGCTTCATAACAGACTCTTTCTCTCCATCCAGCCATTCTGGTGTCCTTCTAGTATGCATCAATAATGGATCTGGAATGCAAAACCTATGGCTCTAGGTTTATCAGGAATAGGGTTGATGTTCTTGTATCCCATTTATTTTTTTAATGATTATTTTTATTTTAAACATGTAGGGTACAATTCAGGGTTAGGTCATAAGTAGTCATCATGAAGGAAAAGTTTGGGTACCCTTATTGATGTTATGTGCCCCCCAAATCCCATTTCTCAAGGTTGATTTTATAAACTTGATTTTAGAATTTTACACTCATTCCTGTTAAATTTCATTTTGCTTCATTCAGTCTATTGAGAATATTTCAGTCTTGATTTATTGTCCAATAGATTTATTATTTTTCTATTTCCTGTCATCTAAAAATCTGTTAGAAGTGATTTTTTATTCAAAAAATTGGAACTCTTTCACTTCTTATTAGAAAGAATTTTTTCCACACATAATCCTTGTGTTCCTGCAATTATATGCTTTTTGAGTACAGACATTGCATCTTTATTGTTCAAAATTTACTCCCAGCACCTGACATATCAACCATTTAGTGGCACTCAATCCATTGTAGAATGACCAGTAGGGCAGTCATCATTGCTCTATATAGTACCCAAAGGTGATAAGGGTTGAAACTGATTTCTAGGGAAAGATTTTGCATTGCTTTCTACTTCACATTAAATAATTTTGTGACCAGAAGTAGCATGACATAATCTAAGGAATAAAAGCTGCAAATGGAATTCTTGTACCTTTCTGGCAGAAGTGTAAAGTGGAACAAATTCTTTATGACACTGTTTTACAGGATCTAATAGAGCTAAACATATGTGTTCCTTATTACTTAGAAATTTCACCTTTGACTTCATACATATATGAGTACATAAATGCACTAAAAGACATATCCAATTATGTTTATAGCAGTGTTATTCAATATAGCAGTGTTATTTATATAATAGCCTCAAACTGAAAACAATTCAACACTCATATAACATTGTATATTCAGACAGTAGAATATTATATATCAATGAAAAGGAATAAACTATTGATGCACACAGCAACTGCAATTAATCACACAGAAAACCAGTATTAAAAAATAAAAAGATACAAAAGAACATACAATGTATGTTCTGTTTATACAAATTTCAAAAACAGACAAAACTGTTACCTGGTGGGAGGATGGACAAAAGGAAGTCACTTGTGTAAGAAATGTTCTTGATCTGGATGGTTATTACACAGGAAGATGCATGTGTATATGTAAATAGTTATCAAGCTGTACACTTGATGATTTGTGCATTTTACTACATGCAAATAGATCTTAATTTAAAAAAATTAAAGGGCAAAATAAAGGTATTTCCAGGCCATACAAAACATAAAAGAGAAGGTAGTCAGATACAAATAGTTACAAATTTTGAAAGCAGAATTAGGATCACAGCACTTCCTTTATGGGGTTAACATGATAATCAGAGATAATATATGTGAAGTATCTAGGGACAATCTAGCACCTTTTATGGAATCAATAATCTGCAGACACATTGGCATCTTCTAGGTCAGTGCTTCTTAAGTTTTCACATGCATACGAATCACATGGTTATCTTTGTTGAAATGCAGACTCTAATTCTGTAGGTCTGTGATGAGACTGAAATTCTGCACTTTTGAAGAGCTCCCAGGTAATTCTAATGTTGCTTGTCTGTGGGTCATACGTTGAGTAGCAATGAGGAGGAATTGGGATAAATGGGGTTTTTCAGCAAGGGAAAGGCCTTGAACAAATCCATGTTTTAAATGACCTTTCTACTAGCAATTCACAAAATATATTACAGGAGAATAAATGGAAGATCCAAAAGACAGACGATATATCCCTGAATGAGGTAAGGGGAAGAAGGAATGGAAATTGAGGAAAGAGAAATATTTTGCAGAATCATCAAGACTTGACATTGTATTGAAACTTTAGGAGTAATGAAAGAATGTCATCAAATGCAGTTTGAGGTTTCTAGCTGTGATCAGATAAGTAGACATGCCTTAGCTTTATATATTTTATCAGATCCTTTTGATTAAAACTGAGTTCAAGAGGATTGGATGTCACACACACACACACACACACACACACACACACACACACACACACACACACACAAAGAAAAAAAAAACTTTTCCCCCCCAACCTTGGTCAGGCTAACAGAATAAATCAAGGGAAGCATTATAGTGGGTGGTTTAAGAATAGTTATATCAAAGACAAAGCTGTAGGATGAAGGATTATATGTGTCAGCTCGGCTTTGGTAACAAATGACCCCAAACAACTCATTGACTTTCAGCAGCAAAGATTTGTTGTGTCTCTGGTTGGCCATGCTTGGCTCTGTTCCACGTGTTTTCAAGTCAAGATCTGGGCTGAAGGAGAATGCTCAGTTAGGATCAAGAGAGCTACAGGAAACTTGCAGAGGATCTCAAGACTTCTGCCCAGATGCAGTGCACATCACATTTGTCCAGTGCCATTTTTTTAAAAGATCTTTGAAAACATGGATTTGATCAAGGTCTTCATCCCCATTCCTCCCCGTTGCTACTCAACATATAACCCACAGATAAGCAACATTGAAATTACCCGGGAACTTTCAAAAATGCAGCATTTCAGGCCTCATCACAGACCTACAGAATCAGTCCTGCATTTTAACAAAGAAGTGTCTGTGATTTGTGTGCACATGGAAACTTGAGAAGCACTGACCTAGAATATGTAGGTATATCTGCAAATTACTAATTCCATTAAAAATGTGCCTATATATCCCTTTTGTGCCTATAACCAACCTAGCTGTTTTTTCTTAAACTCAACACTTAAATAACCTCAGCTCAAAATCTTTCATTAGCAAAAGATAAAATGGACAGGTTTCAATTTCCTCTCTTAATGAGCACTTAAATGTTTTAATCTCTACAGGGGAGGGCAGGAGGAGAAGCCAAGAGGTATGAAAGAAAAACCATTACTCAGTAATCAACCTGAGAGTAATCAAGAGTTGACTGAATTCTCTCCTGACCTTCATTCTGTTTAGCATGTGTCTTAAGAGGATTGTTGAGCTGGTATGCCATTCACCTCCCATGTGCTCACATGATTCACATTTTGTATGCTCTCATGATGGAAGAATCAGTGTATGAGTAGTGTTTTAATTTTCTAGGAATCCTCAATATGAGATATATTTGTATATTAACAGGAAATTAACCTATACAACCCAGAAGTTATTTTAAAACTTGAAAATTTATAGATTGTGTCCCCCATTCAAACCCAGTGCATTTATAAACTTGATGCTAGCTACACTAGTTAATCCAAAAAAGAGATTTTTACCTAAATTATCTGGGCATTCTCATAAAATAATTGATATGAATCTGATGACTTGAAAACTGTTATCTCTGTTCTCCACTGTGGTTCAAAGTTGTTCTCTGTATCTCCATGCAAAGTTAAAGCATGATTTCTGAAGGTTTTGCTTTTTTAAACCAGGGAGAAAGTTATGGTCATGCATATCACATTTCTTTTATTTTTCAATCACTGTTTTTAACAGGACAAGACAATGACTCAACAGAGAATGAAATAAAAATTGAGACAGAGTCCCAGAGCTCATATATGGAAACAGAAGGTACTGAGACCCAAATATATTGTTATCAGAGAATGAGATGAGACTGTGAACCATGACTTCTATATATACTTGTGCATGTGTGTTTTAGGCAATGATTACTGGAGGATGGCAAAAGTGTTCTACTTTGTGTGCCTGTTGAAACTTGGAGACAAAAAAAGAACCTTAACTTTCTATGCCACAGTCACTGTATTCTCTCAGTGATTCCAACTAAAACATCTCTGAGCCTCCCTCTGTCTCATTCTATTTAGAACTTTCACCAAACCAAGAAGATGCCGTGGTTGTAGAACAACCAGAAGTGATTCCACTAACAGATGACCAAGAAGAAAAAGAAGGTGAAACAGGTAGGACTGCTTTTAAACTAACCCACTGAGAATAGAGCATTTTTCTTTGGATTCCTACCTAGAATTTAACCATCAATGTTATCCTCACAATGACAGTTTGTAAAGGAGGCAAATAAACATTTCTTTAACCCTGAACCTGCTTTTGAAAGTAGAATAAAATCTAGAAGTAGCAAAAGAAGATTCTTGAGACATTTTTTTCCTTTCAACATATGTGTAGCATGAAGATGTTTTTTGTTATTCATGTAAATTCAATTTAAATTTTAAAAATTACAGTACTGAGAAATTCTACAAGAAATCGAAAATTATGGAGTTGGTGGATAAAGGTCAAAGAAATTCTGAAATGGCTTTAAAACAAATAGATTGACCTTTTTGTGTTGATTTCATTCTATCTTCTTTCATATGGTAGTGATTAAAGAAGCAATTTATGTAAAATATGCACATTATATGAACCTTCTAAATTACAAACTTCATCCACTATATTAGGATACAATAATAATGAATACTACTTTCAAAAAGTAAGCATTATAATGATTTCTGGAGATATAGGAGGAAGGAACACTTGGTAAATATTAAAGCACTTTTGGGGCAAAAAGTCAATATACTGGAGTGATTATAGGAATGTTTTTTAAAAATCTTGTTTAAAGAAGTGTTATCATAGAAATTTAGTGTTAATGGAAGAACCTGAAGAATTCAATTTTTAAATATGAAGCAATCTCATAAAAGAAGCTGATAAAATAATTGGTTTATTGCAGTATATCATAAATCATACTTCTCTTAAATAAATATGTATTTACAAAGCAGTTGCAGGGTAATAACTTGACAGGTCTTGTTTACAGAACACAGTGATCAATTTTGTTTCCAAATTAAAACACAGACATGATCTCAATTGTAAAATCAGGTCAATAGCAACTACAGCTTCCAAATTATGAACTTTTCTTGGCAGAGGCATTGACATAGTTTAATTGCTAAACCGTGTTAGTGATTTCAACACTTAAAAAAACAAAATTTCCACTGCGGTGATAGCACAATATTCTTCCATGTCCATAGCTCTTATAACCTTTCTTCTATTGCAAATCCTAGCTCAGGCTCACAACACCATGTTCCTGTCAAGTCAAATAAAGGGTATATGTGACGTATTTCATTGACGTAATTCATGTCTAACAATAATAATTGAGAATTAAAACAATCCTTACTCAGATTCAGATATATGGTATTGCTCTCTTCAGTGGTACTTCTAAAATGTAGAATATACAATGCTGTGCCCAAGTAACTTGCCCAGGGTCACCCAGCTTAACCTCTCTGTAGCAGAAATTATTTCCTTTGTATACTGTGCCTCAAGAAACGCAAATGATTAAAAAACATCAAACAACTGGCACATTTTTCTCTTTTTAACTTGACCTGTAGGGGGAAAGATTGCATTCTGCACACCAACGTGTTCCCCTTCTTCCAGTGACTTTCCTAGCATTGAATACTCCTCTAAGTTTCCAGAGGGTTAAATACCTGTTTCTCCTCTCTTTCTGGTACATATGCCAAACTTTTTCTGCCAACAGTAGAATGGCATGTGGGAAAGAAGCGAGGTCAAGTTCTGCTACTTGTTTGTAATAACGCTGAAATTGAATTTCTTCATTCAAATCTGACTTTTCACTGTAAGAGAACATTGCTGGCAGGTTTGAATTAACCACATTTTCCTTTCCCATCTTTATCATCAATACTCACTTGGCCTTGCCTCAAATATTTCTGGTGTTCAAATTTGAAATAACTTTCAATGTATCGCCTTTGTCACTTTGTTCTTTGAATCAAAGTAGGGGTTGAAAACTATTCTGTTACATATAAGAAAAGTACTCAAAGAGAAATGAGTAGTGTAGATTCATGGTGCTCTCTGCACTTACTCTACTCCACCACTGACAAGCTAGATGACCTCGAGCAAGTCACTTAGCCTATCTGTTTCAGGTCACTCATCTGTAGGATGGTAATGACAGAAGTACCTGTCACAGACAGTTATGGTGAAAATGTAATGAGTAACACATGTAAAGCAATCACAGCAATGCCTGACACATAGAAGGCATTCCATAGACATTTAGTATTTGTCATAATTTGGTAAATTGACGACAAAGCCAAGAAAATCCATGTGTGGAGTTCCCCACGTCTATTCATTGTTCTTCTGAACTATTTTGAATTCATAGAAAGTCACATATTCTACATTATTCTTCAGTAACCATTGGGTGTACACATTTGATGGACAGCATCACCCCCTGAAGGCAGTCTTGACATCGTTCTGAATTCTTTACGTTACTATATATTTTATTCTATAAAAGATAAAACAATTGATAGAAAGAAGGTGAGGTGGAAGGCATTTCTCTCTATTAGTAAACTCTTTTTTCTTCGACAGTATCTCAATCTTCTATCTGAAAAATAAATAAAACCATAATTTTTATTTATAGAGAAAGATATCATTGAGCTACTGATAGAGCTGCAAGAGAAAAGTAGTAAATAAACTCAAAGTAGTAAAAAAAAAAAAAGTGCTTTCTTTTGATTTCTATAGTTATTAAAGAGTCTTGTTTGAAAACATTTTGAGACCACAGCTCCAGGTTTTGTATATATTCACAAAGTAGTCTCTTAATGGAAAATTGCACATATGTATTAAGAATTCTCTGTAAACCAAAACAAATGAGTATTCTATTACATTTCTGGATATATTCTTTATAGCTTTAGGAGTATGGCTCTCTTTTATTGTGAGAATCTTTCTAAGGAGACAGAAAGTGGTTCCTTTAAAAAAAAAAAAGTTCCAGTTCGGAAAAAAATATAACCTTTTCCTCTCATTTTGTAGCATTTTATAAGATTAGAAAATGTAGATAATCTCCAGGATACATCTTCTATGGCTCCCAGGTGTATGGACGCAGATGTTGCAACATTAAGTTTTGAAGTTAGTTCTACTGAAATATGGATTTTGAAAAGAAGGAAAAATATTCAGCAGAAGTTCATGCTGATAAAATTACACAATAGCACAATGGACATGTCCCTGGGAGACCTGAAATACAAAAATTTCAACAGGCATAAAGTGAGGTTTCACATATGGTAGCTTTTCTCATATAGCATCATTGCCTCTTCCTAAATGAGTCCAGTTTTATGATTTCCCAGCAGGATGTGCCACACATATGAAATCCAGTGGAATAACATCATTTAAGTTAATAACCAAATAGAAAAGTAATATTATAGGCGATCTCTAAAAATAATCTCATGTTTTAATACATAATATAAAACCAGCATTAAAATATTTTCTTAACATTTTACCTCTAGTTGAATGTAGAAATATTTGACAGTCTCAACTATATCAACATTGTGTTATTATTGTATCACAGAATTTTCATTTGTGTTTTATTATGAATCTATATTGAACTTTTTTCCCCCAAGTGTTACATAAAATGCATATATTCCATCCCAATCTTTTTCATGTTAATTAATAAGTATAGCATAGAATAGCAATCCTTTATGTGTTTACCTAAGGTCGAACAAAATGTTGATGGAGACCTAAAGTTTATTTTGGTCTGTTGTTTTCTTGGGGGAGAAATATATATACATAGAGAGAGAGAGAGAGAGAGAGAGAAAGAGACAGGCATGCAAGTAAGCATAAAGTGCAAGCCAGCAGCAAATATAAATGACCATGTCCTTAGGTTTATGTATTGGTGTCTGGCCAGCATGATGTTGAGACAAAGTGTACAGAGGGCTAGGGCTTCTAGTCTAGGCGTTTATTTCCTGGCAATTCTTTAACTTCTAAGGATCCCAGTTTCTAGGGTAATAATAAAGGGCATGAACTCAAAACTGCAATTGTGACATTATTGAATTTAATAAATACTCTCAAAAGGCTATTTGAGGAAACAAGACTGATGGCATGGGAACCAATGGTCAGTGATACTGAAGCCTGAAATTGGAGGTTTTACCCAGTTTTATTCATTATATTCTATGGATAAAAATGCAGAGGTGTCCTAGACCAGGCAAAAAGATCAGGCAAATTAGCCATATTTTGCATTAGGGTTTAACAATCATTGGACAGCTAATTATTCCCTGAAGCTACTTTAAAGAGGGGTGGAATTATCTTTTAGCTCAAAGCAGGTTTACACACAAACAATTCTCAGAGCTGGGTTGGATTTCAACCACCATCTTTCTTAGTCCATGTGGAAAACATCTTTTCTCGCAGCTCCTCTAGCTACTGTTTCATCTTTTGGTGAACACATTGTAAGTGAGCCACTTTCTTTTCTGCTCCTACCAATCAAATCCGTTAGGAATTTATCTAGTCTACAAAGCACCACTACACAGCCCTTGGTGTTTTCCATTATTCATAGGATTCTCACATGCCTGACAGAGTCTTTCCCCTCTCCTTGAAAAGCAGGCCCTGCACCAGCAATGTCACCATACACAGAATCCCTAATATGTGGGCTTTCACAGCCAGCTACAGAGAATCATAGTTCAGGCATATTTTTAATTCATGCAAAATGTTATATGAACTTGCATCTTGAATAATAAACGAACTTTTATGGAAACTATTTTCAGAAAGTCTTTCTAGCTCATCCTTTTAGATGAAATCTATTTTAATAATACTGTATTTTTCTCATTTGCAGTACTATTATTTAGTCTTCTAGGGAAGTTTCATTTTTGAATTGTTTTTTCTGGTTACTGGACTTTTTTCCTAATTATATTTTGAAGCTGAAATTCATCAGCCAAAATTTTGTTGCAGAATAGAAGTTAGATTTTAAAATGCTGGTTCCTGATCAGTTTTTATGAATATTTTAGTGTTTAATGAAATTCCTTATATTGGTTAAAAACATTGGACAAAAAATTATAAAATTTTAAGCTAAATTTTTAGAAATTTTACATATGTATATGTATGCAATATATAAATAGCAAATCAGTTCATTTAAATTACATTGTATAAGATAAGAAGCAAATATATAATTTTTCTTTACACTGTGTGATTTTTAAAAATTTATTTTTAGAATATTAAT